GTACTGTACACAATGGAAATGCAGTATACCCCTAACTGCTTGGCAAGTTTGCCAGTGTGAGATTGTACAGGGCATACTATTGGCTGATGGAATGGAAGGTGACCAACCACAGCACTGTGTTCTGTATCCTGGGTGCTGATTGGCTCAGTGACTGCAGCATTGGTCTGTTTGCTTTCCTGCACTGTGAGCATATGTTCAGCATCTCTCTTTGTCCACTTCACTGCTCGTAGCGTTGCTCTGCAGTGTTGTGTCTTTGTGAAATTTTCATAAAAGTTTGAATTTATTTCAAGCCCTATGATGCTACCCACACTTTCTGCTCCTCTTAGGCTTCTGACAGTGAATGCTGCTACTACACGGATTTTCATCTATTGCGGCGGGTCTCTGGAACGTAATGTCCACGATATGTGAAGGAGCACTGTAAATAGAAAAAGAGGGTGAGAGCAAAGATAGAAGTGCACGCTGCATCTGGGGAACACAGCATGGGCTATCGCGGGAAGTTATGATAGCCCAAACGACTCTGATTCTTTTCAAAAAATTAGAATGTGGCTCTTGAATTAATTTTCTGGTATGAAAATGGACTATTTGCATATTTTAGTGTATTCTGGGTCACACAGTCAAATATCTTCCCTACTAGGCAATTAATGTAATAAACAAAGACTATATAAACAATATAGAGGGATGAGGGTCATGGCAAATGTCTAATTCTGTGTGACTTAAAAAAGTGCAATATTATCACTTCCTTCTCCCCAGCTTATCTCTCTGACTCTAATGTTTTTCGTGGAATATATCTTTTTGCTGTACAAGTATACTTTTTGAATGACTTGTCAATTTCAGTGCATAGTGGACCACTTTCCTCTCTCAGAGTAACAAGAATAGAGTTTAGAATTTTCCACATGATTATTACACTGCTCCTCCCCACACACTGTTCAGTTTGAACTAAGAACAAGAAATCAAGTCTCTTAGGAACAGCCCCAGATTGCCTTCAGAAAACTTGAGGAAAGACAGGTGTTGTTAAAAAGTTACAAGTTCATATTAACAAGTGTGACTTTACACTGTTAGCAGGCACACGGGATCCCATCCCTGTGTAACCTATTTGTACCTTGACATCAGAAAGAAGTGGGTCAGTCAACTTTTAATGGTGTCCTCTGAGATATAGTTCTCTGCTAAGGCATAGATAGTAGACTGTGTTTTATATTCCTATGGGAGAAGATTACCAGGCAGTGACACAAATAGAAAGGAAATATGTCTTCATTTGTTGATTGGTCTCTTGTTTTACATGGTTAAAGGT